ATCCTTGTCTCTTTATTAGATAGTACCCAGAAGTGCCCCAACAGACTTTCACCCAATACTCACTGGCCTAGATTATTCTTCAACTGAAGTTGGCAAGTGACTGGCAAGAAAAATTACCCTGTTTGGTCATGATCAATTACAATTTACACCGCAGGACTGAGAAGGGGGTTGGATTTGTTTACTTATCACATGGAAGAAAAGTCCAAGTATTATAAAATCTCACCGAAAAGAAGGGATCGAAGAAAACAAAAATGAAAGAGGGAGGAGGAGAGCAAGAGGAGAAGAAAGAATAAAAGAAAGGGAGTGAAAATATCTTTGGGATAAATAACCAACAGCATCTATCTACAGTTTTATAAAGACAATTTCAGTAGAGGGTAAGATTTAAAGTTCTATTAAAGCAAACATGGAGGGAAATTAGATGAGGAAATAAAGACAGTGTACACAAACTGTATATTTTAACGGATATTGATGTACATGGAACAAAGATATATCCAATAGTTTACAGAGAAGAACATAGGGTGAAAGAAGTTTGAGTTAGTTTTAGTTTTGTTTTTAAGATAGTTGATATTGTGGCATATTTCTAGGCCAATATGAATAATCCTGAAAAGGGAAAGAAAATGATGTAGGAAATGTGACTATTACAGGATCCAACTCCTGGTGAAAATGAGATGGAAAGGATTTAAATTACTGATAAAGAGTTTTCTCTTTGCAATAGAAGTAGGTACAACCTTTTAATAGAAGGGATAAGTCAGTAGCTGAATACAAATGCTGAAAGTTTGATTGAATTGTTAGTTGGAAAAAAATGATAGTTCTTATGCAATTATATTTATTTTCTTTCTAAAGTGAGCTTCAGTGTTACGAAAAGAGAGTAGGCAGATAGAGATGTTTGAAATTTGGGGAGAGAGGAGAATGTGTGAGATTCTCAGAGAGAAAGGAAGTGCATTTTCTTGAGAAATATTACGGGGCAGCCTAGTAAGGTTGAGATTTTTAGCGTATCTTTACTGTTATAGCGTTGGCACAGAAGAAGTGGATAATTTGGTTGGGTGAGTTTGGGGTTTTGTCAGATAAATAGTATAATGGAGGGAAGATGAAGAAAAGGAGTTAAGGGTGCTTTTAAAAGAGTGTTACAGTACTAGCCCATGAAAATTTTAGGCTGCATAGGGGAAAGAGATGTAAGAACTGAGTAGAGGTGACAGATGGTGAAAAGGAGTCAGGTCAATAAGTTTAAAGTTTGAATGAGGTCAAAGATGTTTGGGGAATATAAAAGGAAGTCACTAAAAAGTTGAAGGTGTGCAGAAAATGGTCAGAGAAAAGGGCTGGAATTAAAATTTTGAAGGTGCTATAACTACTGATGATGACAAGATGGCTGAACTAGAATGCAAAAATGATAGTTGGGACACCAGGATGTGGGATGGACTATTCACTTCTTGGATTCATCACTTATTTGCTGTTAACCTTAGATAAAGTAGTTCACATCTATAGTTCTTGGTTTCTTCATCTTAAAAAGGAAGATAATAATATAAACCAATTCATAGGACTGTTGTGAAATCTAAAAATGTTCATTATGTAAAATGCTTTCAGCAGTGCCTGGCATATTGTAAGCATTCAGTAAGTGTTCCCAGTTAGTACTATTTGCATTTATATCATGTATTTATTACTTTATTTTTAAATGGTGAAGTTCCTGAATATTTTAAGTATTCACTCTATAACAGGGACTGTTCTAAGCACTTATCTTTTTTAAAAATCTCATTCAATTCTCACAGTGTCCTTACTGGTAGGTACTATTGCTATACCCATTTCATAATTTAACCAACAGGGCATAGCTAGTAAGTGACACAGACATGCTTTTAATCAAATCAGTCTGCTTCCAGATTCTCTGTCCTGAAACACCATCCTATGCAGTGATTGACAGCGGCATAGGTGAATTCAGGTGATGAGAACACAATGAACGAGGAGAAGACATTTGGAGGGAGAGATATGAAAACAACAAGGAAGGGTAATGGATAATGAAGTCTATGACATGCACATCAAAGAATCTGGGGTTTTGAGGGAGGAAGGAAGACAGACAGCCTGGAAGTGACAGTGGGGAACAAGGCTCACAACACACAGAAGCATTTCAAGCATTTCCGACCAAAGGACAACATGAAAAAATAGCTTCAAATTTGGTCATCTAGTGAACTTGGCAGTTCCTTAGGATTCTGTCCTTGTCATTGTATTTTTATCCCAGGGAGAGAAAGTTCTTGTGAAATTCTTGTCCTCTACCCAATCTTGCTAAGAATCATACTCAGTTTAGGGGCAAAGCTATAAGGTTAACCAATAGGTTACCAAGATGATTTTTTTTAGTGACTCTCAGACCAGTTCCCACATGAAAGCATTGTTTTAAAAACAAAGCAAATTATCAAATGTGGGGACTTTTCTGGTATGTGAGATATTGCAAATAGTGTAATTAGATACAACGTTCCTAATTCCATTTACTTACATGACAGTTTCAAAAATCAATCTATCAACCAATCAAATGCTTTTCATAACCACGTAGCTGTAGATGAGGGATTAGCAAAGTGCAGTCAATGAACTAAATTCAGTCTGTCACCTGTATTTACATGGCCTGAGAGCTAAGAATTACTTTTACCATTATGAATGGGAGAAAAAAGTTAAACGACTAATAATATTGCATGACATGCAAAACTTATATAAAATTAAAATTCTAAATGAAATAACTAAAATCTCATTACAAATTAGCATTAACAGATAACATTTGCAAAAACATTTTTGATCACTTTAAACCCAGATTAAATAAAATGTTTTCCCCCCAAAGAGTTCCATTCTTATCTTCCCATTACAGAAATGTGTATGTGATTATTATTATGTTTTGAATTCCATCAATAAAAATCTTTTTTTGCTATATATTTGTCATATAATCACCTACACAATATTCACAATTTTATCTTTAATCCTGAGATGCTTAAGATATTTGATATCTGGACTCTTACAGAAAAACTTTGCTAATTTTTGGTCATAAATAATGAGTAGACACAGTTTATGTTAGTGTAGGTATTATCATGTGAATATTGTGAACGTGATATGTGGGTGTCTGTGTATAAATGTAGCCATTTGATCACATATTCATTCCGCTCACAGACATTTATTGAGCTCCTATGCCAGAAACTCTCCTGGATGCTGAGAATACGAAGTTGAAAATAGGTAGTCATTGCTCTTAACGAAACCAGTCTTATTATTTTCTGTAGTGGTAATTTTGATAAAATTTAAAAAGAACAAATAATTTCTACAAAATTTTCTTTTAAATGAATATGCCCTTTTGTTCCTCCAACTCAATTGCCAGCTATAATTGGTTACTGAATTTTATTATTTTATAAAACATTTGATGAATTCACTGATTTTCAGTCTCAGCTAGAAAATTGGAGTAGGCAAACAAGACATCTCTCTCCGACCTAACTCCATTGGAGTAAGGGTCTTGTGACCTTTCTCTGCTATGCTTACCCCCTATTATGTCATTTGAATTTTTGGGGGGGAGTGGCGGTGCCTGGCATGCTACTTGGATAAAGTCATCCAAGGTCTGTGTCTCTGTCAAACTGAACTGAGCATTGTCAGTTATCATAGCAATTGTGTTGCTCATCAGCAGAATTGAGACCCAAAGCCATTTCCATACTTTTCAGTAGCGAACGCTTATCCTTTTCTTTCTAAATTGTCTCTGACATCAATTGCCCTGCAGGATTTCAGTGTGGGTTTAGGGGACTGAACAGCCAATGAATTCAGGCTGTTCTTATAGCATGCAACCATAACTTGTGTTTAGCTTTCATAACAGCATCTTATCCAAAACCGTCTCAAAGATGCCAAAACCAATCTGAAACCACTTCCTAGGTCCATTGCATAACAAGTGGATGTGCTCTTCCCACCACATGATGAAGGGCACTACGCAGTTAGATAGCTGATCATTTGAATGGTGAAAGTATTTGCCTCGCTGTTACATTTAAGCTACAAAATTTGCAAGATTTCTGGTTCTACATTGTTTATTGAACATTTTTCTATTCACATTCATTGCTATTCCTTCTTTAATGCCCGGGAAGAGTCTATTGCTATCTCTTTTCCATCACATCCTAGAGTGAGCCTAATTCAGGAGCCCTCACTTTTAAATGTACCTCTTAAAGTACAGTGTTACTCATTGGGAATGTTCTGCCGTAGTTTAAAATTACCTTTAGTAAAATTTTGCCATTTTTCTTTTTTTTTTTTTTGAGACGGAGTCTCGCTCTGTCGCCCAGGCTAGAGTGCAGTGGCCGGATCTCAGCTCACTGCAAGCTCCGCCTCCCGGGTTTACGTCATTCTCCTGCCTCAGCCTCCCGAGTAGCTGGGACTACAGGCACCCACCACCTCGCCCGGCTAGTTTTTTGTATTTTTTAGTAGAGAGGGAGTTTCACCGTGTTAGCCAGGATGGTCTCGATCTCCTGACCTCGTGATCCACCCGTCTCGGCCTCCCAAAGTGCTGGCTTGAGCCACCGCACCCGGCCAATTTTGCCATTTTTCTAAGTGTTTGCTGCTTCCAGGGCCTAATACTTACACATGCAAATGCAGGCACAGCCAGAAGGTGGAGAATTCAGTTCTTCAGAAATTAAGGGGTCTCATTTTTTACGTTGAATCTGGACGTTGGCCCTCAGATACCCTTGATCAACTTAACCAATGATTTTCCCTACCTAAGCACATAAGAAAAAGATAGAAGGAGGATAGAACACAAAAATCCCCTGAATTTCCTAAAGCCTGAGTTCCCAGCCCCTGCACTATTGCCATTTACTTCCCGTTTCTGTTTGATCCAGTCAGGCATCTGAGGCCTCTAACTGGATCCAATCTAGTTAATGATCAGATCCAGTACAATCATGGACCCAGTCCAATTTCTGTCATAACTGCTGAACCCGTTTAAATCTAAAATTTGCTCAAACTTGGAAAGCTCAAAATACAAATCCATGCGGCTTTGGAATCAGAGAACTTACCCATGATCCTCAGGTGCTACCAGAGGGCAGTGGACACAGTGGGCCCGGCAGGCATCTCACTTGGTGCCCCTAGGAGCTGCTGGGAGTCTACTGCAAATCCCACTCTGACATCTTCTGCAAGAAGGAAAACATTAGACAAATTAACTGAGTTTAATTGAGCAAAGAACAATTCAAGAATCAGGCAGCTGCCAGAATCAGAGATGCAGGAACTGCCACAATAGGAATTTCAGGGAAGGTCGAGGACCTGGGGATTTTCCTCAGGTGGTGCTGATGGATATCTTTTAGTTTACCTCCTGAATGAAGGCAATTTTCTTAGAATTTATTTTAGAAGGTTTTAGTGCCATTAGAAGTAAGTCTCCTACTCAATTTGCCTGGTTCTAAAACCAGCTTTTTCCAATTGTATAAGCAAATAAATTATTTTAGGCATTTCAAAAGACCTCCTGGGGGAAATGTACATATATTATATATATTTACAAATATATAAAATATATATATATAATATATATAACTTTTGTGGGAGTGGGATATTTGGGAATTCAGGCTTTTACCTACTACCTACAGAACAAGAAATAGGAGAGAAAGAAAAATGAGTATTTAAGGGTTGCTTTAACAGAAATAAAAGAACCAGGGGACACAAAGTTTTTTTTTTTTTAACATATAAAATGCTTTTTTATTTCCCAAGTGTCCTGTTTCCCTAGCTCTGTCAAACATGATTGAGCTTATCTGCCTGGGAAATAGCAGGGCTATGGAAATTCTTATTTGGTTCAGCAGCCACCTGTTACCCCAAATGTCTTCTGTGGTAGCAATGTTGATTCTCTGAATCCTGCATCCATGAAAAAGAAGTGCCCATTCATTTCCTTTTATTTTACAAATATACAAAGCTGGAAGGTTGTGCTGTAGCCAGAGCACACTGTACAAAGAGGAGAGTTTGGCAATGCTGGAATAGGAAGGAATAAAATAACAAATTTAAGGCTGGAGGGGAAAGAAATTGGAGGAAAAAAGTGAGATAAAAATTAAGTGTGCAGGGAGGGTGAGGATCACATCTAAACCTAATGGCCAGAGACCAGATTATGCAAATTATTTCAGGCAGCTCCATACTCTGCTCCACCCAAGCACCCAGCCAATGAAAGAACATTTCTTTAATTGATTTTTCATGTCTCTAAAACTACCAGAATTATCTAAATTCTTTAATGGTATAAAAAAGAGATATTTTAACTTAATGAAATCAATGTGATGCCATTTTGATAAGAAAGTAATACATGAAGTGATTAATAAATTTGGGAGTTTCAGTTGAGCCCTATCTATACCCACTACCATCAAAATAAGAGCCTTCAATCAATTATATTTAGTGCATTCCATGTTTCTGGGAAGACATCATCATGTCCTCACCTTCGACATAATCCTTAGAGCCATTCTAGACTCCTCTGTCTCTTTCACCATCTCCCCAAGCTTTAGCATAAGAAATTACTAATACAGGTAGTATCTGTTCCCTCAATATCTCTCAAATCTGTCCTCTCCTGTCTATCCACACTACCACTATTTCAGCCTAGGTCATCCAGTTCCTCATCTGGATTTCTGATGTGAACTAAGTGGTCTTGTCTCCTGACTATACTTTAAAGAGAGAATTTGCTAAACTGCAAATCTGTTCTCATCATCTTCTTGCATATCTTTCTTTGGGGTCTTCCACAGCCCTCGGAATAAAGCTTACACATATCCCTATCCTTACAGGACATTTCCTTAATGGCCTTTCCAGGACAATCCTCTCATGTCTTTAGGGGCTATCCATGCCATGCCATAGTGACATTGCTTCTAACGTTTTATGCTGTCTCATGCCGTTGGAGCTTTGTTGTGATACTGGATAGTCTTGACTATTCATCTCATGAAACTGTGTTTCATAAGTGTAGAGACCGTGTCTTATTTGTTGTTGTAGCCATGGCACCTGGCATAGTGTTTGGCACATGGTATAATGAGGCAAAAAACTGGTAACTTTTAAAACAAATTGACAATTTTAAAAGGAAGAAGTGTTTGTGAGCTGGATACAGGTACCATAGTCATGACTGTGAAGCTATCCCTGACCATCCTAAGAAAACACAATGCTCCTGGAAGTTTGGGCCAATGGGAGAAGGCTAAGGTGGGTTATGGTCACCAGAAAAAAGAAAAAATAATAAATGCTTAAAAGCAAACTGTCTACTGCATAATTTTGCAGAGGGCTGGCCCTGATGTAAGGGATGGCTCAAAAGGAAATTACTGCCCGACACAGGAGGAAAGAATACCAATTATTTTTCTCTTAAGCAGGGCCAGGCCAACTCAACAGAAAACCAGAGAGGATGGGCAATGCATTCCTGGAAGGAAGCTACTGGTGCTGGTGCCATCAGCCTGGTTGACGAAAGAGACATGATCTAGGAGCCACCCAGCTGAAAGCTGGTACACCACAGACAGACATGCTTCTTGGAAACAACCTCTGGCCATCAGGAATTCAAGGTTAGCCTCAACTTCTCAGATGGAGCCTTCTAATTTTCCTTTTCCCTCCCCTGTGCTTCTTCCAGGAAACCTGCCTTGTCCTCTGTGGTAGCTGTGAAAGATCAAACGTGCCTTTTACCAAAAAGCCAGGACTTTCATCTCCTCCCAGCTCCTTTGTGTGTATCCACATGGGACGGCTCATACAGGGACACTCCTAGGACCTGACATGGGGCCACCTCCACTCTATGCCTATGAGCTTTTGTGTGGAATGAGAGTACACGAAGTCAAGGGGGAAGACCAGACCCACTAGTCTAAGACAGTAAATAATTATAGAATACTGTGACCATGAAATAAACCACTTTGAATAGAATTTGTCTGTGATATATTTTGAGCCAAGACAATTTTTACATGCTTTTATGCCACTTCTTCATGATGTTACTCATGCTAACAACTAACTTTAACCAAAACGTTACCAGGAGAATAAGGCAAAATCAGAAAAAAAAAAAAAAAAAACATGGCCTACTCAATTAATTGAAAATTTAAAAATAGTCATTGAAATGGGAGAAAGAGATCTGACTCCACTTTGGTACCCAAACTCTTCTCCCAATATTCCAATAAAGTTTCCAAACTTATCCAGACATTCTCCACCTGCTTCCCAATAACTTTTCAGTGGGTTTCTTCTACATGCCTACCTCCTCCATTCTGCCAAGTTGTACCAGTGCTTATAACCATTACAGCACAAAATCATTCCTCTTCCACTCTGTCTCCCCTATCATCTACCTTCCTTCTGGAAGGTAGGGATTTGTCTCCATCATCTCAACTTGTCATCATTAGGTCACTCTTTCCTTCTAAACACTACTTCCTGGGCCTCACTGCTAGACTGCCACCATGGCCAGGGATCATGGTGTCATTCAGCACATAAAAACCAATGCACAAGTACTGGTTGATTGTCTAATTTGGCTGATTCCATGTACCTGAACACAAAACTTTGGACATGGCAATATGTTACGTGTTGAAACTGTGTGCTCCATGTACACAGTTTATAAATAAGACCGTAGGGACCATGTCTTATTTATTGTTGCAGTCATGGCACCTGACACAGTGTTTGGCACACAATAGAAGGAGGCAAAAGACTAGTAACTTTTAAAGCAAATTGACAATTTTAAAAGAACAGAGTGCTTGTGGGCTAGATACCGAGATTACAGTCATGACTGTGAACCTATCCCTGACAGTACTAAGACAACATGATGGCCCTGAATGAATATAAAACATGTCCAAAGTTTTGTCTTCAAGTACACTGTTGCTCCTTTCTGAAACCTTCATTTTCTCACATTAACTTAAATACTGCATGCAGATGGAGGATTTTGTCTACCCATGAGAGTTTGATAAAATATCAACCCATGAGAAGGTTACAAAAGTACAGATGTTGTCAACCCTGAACATAATTTTGAGCTTGGGGAAGCAGTGACAATGTGGTCTAAATGATTCCTCACTCATGATGCTCACAGAAAAACATTCACAAAGCTCAATCAATAGCCCCAGTGAGGCTAGAAAATCAGGGTAATTCTGGAAATAGAGAGACCATAGGGTATATACAGAATAGCCATTGATGGATGATGTACTGTTTTTATAAATCATAGGGTTTCTAGCCCACAGAACAACTCGATTTCTTTGACTAACCCACAGTATTTTTAGCCATTGCACTGACAAGTTCCATGTCTGAATAATATTCCTCCTTTGCTTCCTCAATTCTTGTGTCTTCCTTCCTTCCTGCTGTGAGATGCTGTGTCTACTGTGTCTTGCTAAATCACTACCATATTTACTTGTGTTTTTTCTGCCAACATGCTCAAAACCTGTTTTGTCCCCATCTGGGGGAAAAATATAACTTGAAAAAAGTAAAAAGAAAATTGTGTCTCTGTATGAATAGATATATTCCACGGTATTTTCTACCTCATTTTGAGCCCTTCCTGGTTACCAGGTATCATTAAGCAATTAACACATACTATCACATTTAAAATTCACCACACTCACAGTTTAGATACCTGTTATTACCTTCAGTTCAATTTATGAGGAAATGGGCACAGAGAAACTTTTCCAATGTCATTTGCTAGTATATTGTAAAGCCAAAATTTGAGCCTAGGTCAGTTCAAGCTTTTAAGTCTTTGCTACTAATCTTCTATGACTTTGAGGTCTGGATCTTCATTTGCCATTGCTGCCTCCAATTCTGGACATGCTCATCAATTTCAAAAGAATTCTTGTCTAATGAAATTGTGTGTCACATAAGAGCACAGAAATCATCATGATATAACTAAGACTGAAAGAATTTAAATGACTTAATGTAAGATGTTAAAGCTATTTCATGCCATCTCAAATCAAAACTAAGTTTTTCCTGTCCTTCTGTTGTTCTTTTATCCTTCTTACAACACTGTGACCCTTATATTTTTCCTATTTTTTTTAAGAAACAGAGTCTTCCTCTGTTGCCCAGGCTAGAGTATAGTAGTGCAATCATAGCTCACTGCAGCCTCAAACTGCAAAGCTCAAGCAATCCTCTTGCCTCAGTCTCCTGAGTAGCTGGGACTATAAGCAAGCACCACGTCTAGCTGTTTTTTAAATTTAATTTAATTTTTTGTAGAGATGGAGTCTTACTATGTTGC